AGGGTACTAGGACAGATAATGGAACATGTTTGCATTCATCCAGAATTCAGCTTCACTGAAATTCAAGTATTTAAAATGCTAAATCCCCAAATAAGTTTTTTTTTAAAATTGTCTGTGTGTGACTACCTCCACAGAGTGAAGGCAAACTTTTTTAACATGAAGAAAGTGTATGTCTCATACATGCTATCCCACTAGACCAGGCTCAGGGAAATGGTTAGTTTTGATAGATGGCTGCTCTTGGATTACTTGTTAAACAAATGCCTCGAGCAGACATTTGACTGGGCCAATACAGGTATGAGACAGATCAAACACAGATCAGATGCACAAAAACACAAAGTGAATAAAAATAAAATTTACACTCATTTGACAGTCATTCCTTTCCTTCTGGTGAAATAAAATGTGGATGCGCACAAATATTTTTTGCTTTACATGGCATTGGGTTTGCATAGATGTCGCAATGGTTGGCCTTAAGAAGTAGAACTCATAAAAGGATATGTGAATAGAGAATGCTGCAATAGGATAGCATGCGTGAGACATTTATTTTGTATATACGGGACACTAGGCTTTATAAATAGGGACATAGAATACAAACGTCAGGAATTTTATGATGAACCCTTATGAACCCCTACTGGTTAGGCCTCAGCTAGAGTACTGTGTTCAATTCTGGGCACGACACATTAGGGAGGATGTCAAGGCACTTGAGAGGGTGCAAAGGAAATTTACCTGGATGGTACCAGGAATGAGGGACTTCAGTTATGAGGAGAGGCTAGAGAAGCTAGGATTATTCCCCTTGGAGCAGAGAAGGTTGGAGGAGACGTTATAGAAGTTTTCAAAATTATGAGAGGATTCGATAGGGTGAACAAGGAGAAACTATTTCCGCTGGCAGATAGGTCGGTAACCCGAAGACACCAATTTAAAATAGTTGTTAAAAGAAACAGAGGGGAGGTGAGGAGAAATTTTTTCACATAGCAGGGTGTTCGGATCTGGACTGCATTGCCTGAAAGGGTGGTGAAGCCAATTCGATAACAGCTTTTAAGAGAGCAGATAATTATATGGGGAGGACAAGTTTGCAGGGCTATGGGGAGAGAGCAGGGGAATGAGATTGATTTGGATAACTCTTTTCAAAGAGCCAGCACAGACATGATGGGCTGAATGGCCTCCTTCAGTGCTGTATAATTCTATGAATTCTGTGATACATCATGCACATGCTGACCCACTGGAACTGCCTCACACATGTGGCTCATGATGTTATCAGTTGGACCGCTTCCTTGTAACTCTCTTAGATAGATAATCACAAATGGATGAAGCTATCTCAGTTCACAGTTAAGTTCAGCTAGATCTGATCCCTGAAATAGATATGAAAGCTAAGAACACATCCGAGCCCTTCATTCACCTCTAATTCTGCAGCATTTGCAACATTGCTTAGCCTATGTTTCAGCAACTCTGTCAAACAGGCTAATCAATCTTCTTTCTCTCAGTTCCTTGTTTCTTCATTGTTTTTGTGTCTATTATACCACAGAATGCAGAGGACTGTGAAGAAATTATTTCATTACATTTTGGTGCAAATTAATTTGAACGAGAGCACAACCTTTCCATCCTGTCATCCAATGTAAATGCATAGAATAAAGCTAATCACTGCTAAACATTACTCTGTATACGGGGTTACAGACAGCATTAATCATGCTGAAGCACAAATTCTGGGTCTACCTGTCAGAGATGCTTTCAGAGTGACTCACCCCCGCACAAAATAAACACATTAGGTGCCAATCGCACAGGGTTCATTTCTCTTCAGTGTTCTGGGCTATCCCTTAGTGAAGTTTTAATGGAACCATTTGATTTTAATGGTGATAAAAGGATTAGTTCATGGTCAGTTACTTAATTGCATCAATGAAAGCACCCTCTCATTTTGATGTGCACACATTAAAAAGGCCCAAATTGTGTGTTGGTGTCGAGTTCCAATTCTCAGTGAAGTGGCGTGGAAAGTATAAATCTGGTTTCGTCCTCCGCATGACTACACTTTTAGGAGTGAAGGGATTTTACTCTCTGCAGTATAAAAACAGCCTTAGAGAACAGATGCAAATTGCACAGGGCTCATTTGATTGTGATCCATTTCAAAGCTTCTCTTCAAGGGCATGAGAACTTTGAGTGGTCTGCTGTCTTCTAACAAGACACTTAGAACCACAACTGACTTATGAAGTGTACAGTTCATAGAATGTATGGATAGAGGAAAAGCCATCCAAACTATGAATCCAGTGCACAGAACGTACACTTGCCCTGAACAAAGAATTAAGCCATGATCATGCAGTCGAATTTCTGCAGCTACCCAAAAACTCAGAATGCCTGGCTTCCCATAGTTGGCATTGAGAATGCTATTGGGGAAGAGAGAGAGAGCACAACATCATGTACATCTGGTAATTCCTATTTGATACTTTAGGAATCACTTATGTTTAATTGCATCTTAAACACTGTTATTTACATTACAATTGACGTATTACTACACCCTGTTTGGGTGTATTTTATATGGAACTGCCATGGACTACAGCAGTGCATTTTCAGGCAGTTTCATCTCAGTTAGCAGCTATGCTTTTACTCCATATCACATTTATCAGATTTTACTTTTAAGAAGAAATGAAATGTATCCCCAAATTAAATGGGCACTTTTGATTGCAAAGAAAAAACTGCAACATGTTTATCATTCTTGACAATATTTCAAGGCCAAAACGTTGGTTTGGTCAGCATATTTCATGGTGCAGCACTAAAGCCTGACAGAATATTGTTTCTCCTTTTCTTTAACGGTAATCTACGGCTTTCAATTGAAATTACGGATGATTTTGGAATTCACTCCTGGGTTCAAAGCTTGCTTTAACAGTATTTCATTTCAAAATTAGCCTCTTCCATGCAGTAAAATGCAATACATGGAAATGAAAATGCTTCCAGGCACCAAGGTTTGTCTTTTCAATAGCTGCTCAATTCCACACCTCAAACCTTTATTGCTGAACCTCACCAGAAGACCCAGGAAAATTCATTGATGTGTGAGCGGTGTAAACACGTAAAGTTATAGAGAAAATTGTCATGCCTACTCAATTTTAAATGGCTTTCAGGATTTCTTAATTTAATTATATTTTGACATAATTTGCCATCAAAAACTATTAAATGACCCCTCTCCTTATGAAGGTTCTTCAAAATGCATGTTTACTTGTCTGGGAGTAGAAATGTGCCTTAACTTTATCATATTGATATGATGTACAATCCAGAAGATAATCCATTTCAATAAAAACGGTGCCCTATTGAAAAACATAACCTTTCCTATGCCATGGCTGAATTATCTTGTCAAGGTATAATTTGACTGTTGGCCATGCACAAGAGACAGCTCATTCAGCAGTAGCAGGTCTCCGATGTTTCAAAACACGTCAAAATTCATCTGGTCATATCAATGACATGGAAATGTCAATCTTTACTGTTCTGACACTTGATCGGTTGAAAATAGCCTTTGGCAATAGTTTTCAGCCAGCCAGAGATACATTTTATCAAAATTGCTGTCAAATGAACAGCAAGATACAGAAAGCTCACAAAGTAATAATAAAAATGATAATCCTTGCATTTGATATGTGCGTTATCTTGGTGAAATTTCTCAAAGCGCTATCAGAGTATTTTTTTGTAAAGTGTAGTGACTGTGTATTTTTGGATGAACATAGCAAGGCAAGTGAAATAAGTGCATTTTTCTTAGGGACATAAGATACACAATACGTAGAAATGTGTCATCAGTTTAGAAAACTAAGGTAGTTAAAATAATAATAGTAAGTAGTAAGTGAGCAAGAGTACAAATAAAGGAAAATCATTATGAACAGTATTAAGGTGTTTACACTTGTTTAAATATTACTTAGATAAAGCATTTCCTTAAATATGAGAAGATGTAATGATTTATTGTCATTAGTTGTTTCTGAATTGTTTTTATTAAGTTTACAAAGTCTTGTAGCTCTGGGAAGACTGAAATTTCACAAGGTCTACAGCGAAGGTTCAGCATTACAGATAGAAAATAGCAACTGCCTTACAATATTATACTCATACTTGCACATAATTGTAGCATAATATGCATAGCAGTAGCAAAATGTATTTATAATAGAGGCTGCACATTGGTAGGCAAACATCCAGTTATCTGATCATACAAACAGAAGTTACTGTATTGGGTTTTGCTGTGTATATAGGAAAGAGTACTTAAAGTACTACTATGTACATAGGTTTTATGGATTATTTAACACTTCAATTCTCCATCATTGTTCCAAAAATATTTAACCGCTGACAAATACAATAAACAGGTGATAAGAAGCTTCCCTGTTAAAAATGTTAATAATCCTCCAGCAAGGCACATCTCAAGACCCTCCCTCCTCTTCGACCAAGCCTTAGGCCACCTTCCTACCCTCACCTATCCTGATCCCAACCCCCTGCTCGGGTCGAAATCTCTGACTGTCTAGCACCTAGGGACACCCTCCTGACATGAAAGGCGCTATACAAATGTAATTTGTTGTTGTTGTATTTGATATAGCGTCTTATCACATCATCGAGATGTCTCAAAACACTTCACAGGATTTACTGTAAAGTGTTTTTTGAATGTATATTTTGTGGATGAAATGTGGCAGCCAGTTGCATCAATTTACTTTACAATATATTTTGTGATGCGCTTTCAGACATCTGAAGATGTGATAAGGCACTAAATCAAATGGAAGCATTATTATTATTATTATAATGCGCTCTAAGACTTCATTCCATCTGAAGGGTGCTATAGAAATCCAAATTGTTGTTGTAGCAATTGCCTGCTGAAAAGTAGCACTTAAAATGTTGACAGCAGTCTGAAAATTAATTGCGTAACATTGTGCCCTTTAATTTGTCTCAAGCTTCAGAAGTGGTGTGTGATTTCATTGGATGGCAAGGATGTAAAACATCGAGTGACAATTGTAAAACATCAGGTGACAATGCTCTGTTATGTTTCCTTGCTGCTAAAGACATCGATGAATGTGCAGAGGGTTTCGTGCAATGTGACAGTCGTGCTAATTGCATCAACCTTCCTGGATGGTACCATTGTGAGTGCAGAGATGGCTACCACGATAATGGACTCTTTGCAGCAAATGGGGAGACATGTGAAGGTCAGTATCAAGAAAGGGTTTCTAGTTGTAATCATTCTGAATAGAACGTGCTGAGAGAAGTGTAATTAAAATCGTACAGCCTCGCTTGATGTTGGTTTATTTTATCTGCTGTATTTTATTAATGCTGTTCAAAAAATTATTACCCAATTTAGCATGTGATAGTCACAAGTGTTCACCTGCCTCAGTTAGCAATATTCCCTTCTGGGTCAGAAAATTCTGGGTTTACACTCTATCCCTGTAGAGTCCTGTAACTCAGCAGTTAGAGCAGTCTCCTCGAAAGCGACAGATCTGGGTTGGATTCCCGGCAGGGTGTAACGTTGGACAAGTTTCCTTACTCCGCACTCCTCTGTTTATTTAGCAGTAAGTCGGAACCCGGTTGTTAGTTGATTGGCAGATCGCTTTTCCGGAGTTCTTAATTCCTTAAAAAAAAATTGGTCACTTCAATCCACAACTGTTTAAGGGACACTGTTGTGCGCAATTGGCTGCCCATAAAATATACAGTCAATTCATTTTACAGTATAATCTGTGAAGCGCTTTGAGATGTCTCAAAGACGTGATAAGGCGCTATATCAAATGCAACGATTATTATTATTATCCCATGAGACAAGAGTTTTCTGTTTGGAGCTGAGCTGGCTTTCTGGATGTCCTTGACAAAGGAATGTTAGAATTGAGTCAGCCCTCTCTATGGCATTCCTTGCTGGTTCCTGAGCCAGGCCAGTCCACAGTATTCCAGGGCACTGATCATGGCAGTGCAGCCAGTCTGGTGTATCTACAGGACTTGGAGCAGCAAACCAGTCAATGGGGGCAGGAATTTTTCTCAGTTAGCTCTGCAAAGCTCAAATGAGTTGGATGACCTTAGCAGAACAAGCAGCAGAAAACTTGCCAGACAGAGTTTTTGATGGCAAGCTATGTGGTTTTACCTGGTTAGCAGGACCCCAATGCACACTCTCGAGTGCCTAAGCCTGGCCTCTAGCCAGTCCTGTCTGTCTGTGGACATTAAATATCCCCATGAGACTATTCAAACACAAAGACATGGCCAGACCAACAATCCTCCAGATTAATTGATCATTCACCTCATGACTGGATGAGTCTTGCTGTGTGTATTTGCCTATGAAAAAACAATAATTTCTATGAAGCACTTTGCACCATTGATATGATGAGGGCATTATAAAAATGTAAGTTGTTTCTTTACCTTTAAAAGTACTGAGGAGTGGCAATTTTAAGATGCTATTAACATATTGAAACTGACTTTTTACGATGGTTAAACATAAGACAGATAAGCAGTAAAGTTTTTTCAACAATCCTTAATTACAATAAGGCAAAATAGATATTGCCCTTAAAAAAGATTAATTCACACGTTGACTTGACTGTCTCAGAATATTATTCAGAGTTGTTAACTCAAGGGATTTAAATATTACAAGGAAATTAATTTTTAAATCCAGACATTTATGAGAGAATTATTTATGTTATCTGCGGAGGAGAAGCATTATGCTGATTGAAAGTGCTGTATTTTAAGAAAAGTTTACATGCATCATTTCAGACATCGATGAATGTGCGACCAGAAGGCACAGTTGTGCCAATGACACCATTTGCTTTAACCTTGAAGGAGGGTATTACTGCAGATGTCCCCATGGAAAAAACTGTACTGACGACTGTGTCTATGAAGGCAAAATAAAGCATAATGGACAAATTTGGGTCTTAGAAAATGACAGGTGTTCTGTCTGCTCATGTCAGGTGAGTGTGTTAAATTAATAAATGTTTTCCTTATTTTTAAGTCTTTGCAGCATGCATAAGCATACACTTTCTACACTAATATGTTAACTCGTAGAATAATGGCAGTTCTACAATATTCCCATTTTCCGTTGAACAATTAGTTTTGTGCACTTTCATCTTGTGTACTTTTAAGCTAGAATCATAGAATCATTGAAATTTACAGCGCAGCAGGAGGCTCATCGAGTCTGCACCAGTTCTCAGGGCTAGGAAAAAATTCCAGAAAAAAAACACCTCAAATATGAAGATAATTTATAACGTAAGAGTAGCACAGGCTTTGAGATCCAATCAGAAGTTGGATTGGCATTATACCCCAACCCTGTGGGATTGAGATCGAGAAAATAAGAGAACAGTAGTTTTAGATGCACTGAGACAGCAGAACAAGAGGACTGAGGTCTAGAGTTGCAAAGGGCAATTTCAGGACAAATACCAAGAAGTATTTCTTTACCTAGAAGGTAATTAATGATTAGAAGAAGTTACCAGGTAGGTAACCTGAGGCTAGGACACTAGGCTCGATTTTAAAGTGGGAGGAACAAAAGGGTGGGTATTCTGTAAGGGTAACATCAAATGGGCTGAATTACTTCTTCATCTGAATTGATCTTGTGAAGTCATCTTTGGTGCTCCAATGATTAAAGTTTCCATTTGCTGTCATTCCCACCACAGATCATGGTGCCTGGAAGATGCACTGATCTGGAGATTCATTTTACAAGTGAACAATAAATTCATTCTGTAGTAAATGATATCACAATGGCAATGTATGGTGAATTTTCTCTTTTCGTAGATTTTTACCTCCTGAACTCTATAGAAGTCCGCAGCAACTTGGATTGTGAACACTTTAGCTGCTGGATTCCTTCTTTGTGCCTGATGTACTAGGTACAATGGGAATATAACCCTTACTAACAACCATCGTCCAAGCATTACATTTTGTATGAACTACATGGCGGTGAAGTAATAAGATTTATACAGTCCCGATAAGCAGCTTTGAGATGGTTTGGCGCTGCATTGGGAAACAGCCCACAGTTTATAGGACATTTTCACTATTGCAGGTTTCAAAATCTTATAGTATTGAAGCAGAATGTCTTGTGTGTCTTATTCTAGAATAATTTACCAATTTCCAGTGGAGGGAGCTTGAGCTGAAAGAATGTGATGTTTCCCAGCTTTACCAGTCAGTCAATACTGTGCTTGTCCATGCATAAAACAGATGTCTGATCAGATAGTAAAAAGCATTCGATGAAAACTACAGGCTGCAACTCTCTGAGTTTCAACAATAGGGACAAAAAAAGGAGGAAAAAAAACATTTAGCCTATACTGTATTACAGAACAATACAGGGGAAATGTTATTTAAGTGTTCAAGATCTTAAAGGGTGTAGATAATTTGAACCTTAGTAGTACATTTATCATGGTCAAAGAATTAACAACCAGGGGACAAGGACTCAAGCTCAGAGGAGGGAAGGTGAACAGACAGATCAGATTTAATTACTTTACACAGAATGGTGTATGTGTGGAATAGACTGCCAGAGAGGCAGGGAAGGCAGATTGTGTCAGCAAATTCAGAAGGGAATTAGACAGACATTTGGCGAAAAAATCAATTGGGAGGTATGAGATAGTGTAGTGTAGGTTTTATTTATTTTTGGGACCAGCCAAATAAACTGCAATGGTGTCACGTACAATACGATGTATCAAAGTGTAAACACTATTTCTAAAATCTTTCAATACAAACAGAAATCTGTGTTAGTGTTCCCTGTGTAACTGATGATATGGTGACGAGAAGTGAATAATGAAGCTGGAGTAATTTACGAATAGCAGCCAAACCATTTGATTGTAACATTGATTTTGTATAATGTCTGCGGAATGTGCTTCTCTCCTAGTAAAACATCTAACTTGTGAGTTCTCACTATTACTGCTGAACAAACAGGCTGAAGATTGGTGTTATGAAAAGTACATAATGCAAAGTGTTAACTTGATTTAACACGGCCACATGTTCAATTAAATACCGTTGTGTTATAAAGGATAGACATGTGGAACTTTATTATTATTATTATCAATATTATTATTACTGTTTGAATTCATGTGCCTTCACTAAAGATCACTCTACTGAAAGTTTTTCAGCCCAATGGCTAGGATTTTTTTTAAGTCATCTCAGGTACTCCAGTTCTAGCGTATTTAGAATATAATTTAACAGACAAGGATTTTTCAGAGGAATTATAGAACAAACAATAAATAGTGGGCATTGTTCCATTTTTATGCAACAGTTGATGTTTTAATATTTTTTAAATTATATAAAAAAGAACTTGATCAAGTATCCCAAAATTGTTGAAAATACTGTATTGAACATAGAAAAGCTTCCTGCCAGAAGCAGTGTTTTGTAGAAGTTCTTATTTGAGAAGGAAACATGACCACTGGTTGCTATGAGCCCTGTCGGTTCTTGAATACACTGTTTGGTACCATACCACCCAGAAGCAGAGTATCAAAAATCTAAGAGCATCATTATTGCCCTGAGGGAATCACACTTCCCAGTGCTGTGAAAACAAGCAAAGCTAGTCAGTGTCACCTTACACAAAATCTATAGTGATAAGGTTTTATCTAATCCAGAGTGTTTTATCATTCCTACATACATTTCTAACATACTGCCATCAGGCGAGTTGTACCAGTTCTCAATTGGGCTCCTAGAAAGAGCGCTGAACAAAAGGTGAAGCATTCCTTTCAGAGAAGATTGGCAGACATTACCCTGTTGGATTGACATATAAGAGGCAGCATGGGTGAGTGCAGGCCTAGAAGAGGAAAAGCCTGAAAAATTATACCTTATTTTAAAAATCAAAACAATTCCATCTATTTCAAGGAGCTTGTGAGAAATGGATGCATATGAAATCAACTCTTACCAAATGAATCTGGCATGCAATAAAACCATGTTTTGTTTTTGCTCATTATCAGAAAGGCATGGTGATGTGTCGTCGAATGGTCTGTGACTGTGAAAATCCAACAGTGGACCTGTTCTGTTGCCCTGAATGTGACCCACGGCTAACCAGTCAATGCTTGAGTCAAACTGGAGATGTGAAGTATGATAGTGGGAGCACTTGGGTGCAAGATTGCCAACAGTGCCGCTGTGTGGTAAGTCACCGTTAGTTCAGAGGCCAAAATAAGACTCAGGTTCTCAGTCATTTGTCAGACACAGAACAACACATCATGCAAGTATCTCAACAGAAACTGCCTCTCATCTCGTGAGATATTTCCAAATATGTAACAGGAAAATTATAGAATTCATTCATGTTCAATAGAATATCTAAATCATTTGAAAAGTGTAGCTGTGATAGTGTGCCATTAAACAAATAGGAGCTGAAAAATTTTAAGTAATTAACTATCTTTTACAGCTTTGTACAATAAATATTCAAACATTCTCTGGCGCACTTGGGTTTTTGAAAATATTTCCAAGGCTGGGTTTATTAAAATGGTAAAACCGTCAGTCACATTATTGCTGACTTGGAGAAAAATGCTTCTCAAATTTACATAATCTTTAGAAGGAGCATTGATTTATCTGAAATAACTGTGCTCTGACAAATAGAATACAACAATTATGGTTTTGTTATGTAAAACTGCCTATAAAAATGGTACCTATTTCTGTACTCAGGGCTCTGAAAGTCTTGATTCTGGAGTAGAGCATTTTTATTGTCCTGCCCTTCCTCTTGTGAAGCCATGTTTTGAATGGCCATGAGGTCACTTGACATGAATAAGCTTTTTTTTACTGCTGAAGGTGGCAGAGAATGCATTACTGGCAATAGTTTTAAGATTTGTGCCCTGATGGTAACCATAAATGTAGAACTACCTCATGGCTTTATTTTCCGCTTCTCTTTGTCTACTGACAGTTATTAGGAGTTGGCAATAAGTCATGATATTTCATTTTCTCTTCTACCTAACTCGTGACTGTGTTCAGACCAGACTCGTCGTATGCTCACTATTGTATTGCCTCTCACACTTCACATGGCTGGTGTCTAGTTGTCAGGAGGACATGACTCACAACCATGTGTTTACTTTAATTAGACAAAGCTGTTAGTATGCCATTAAAACATGAGGGTTAATTGGCTGAACATTTTTATGGTGTTGGCTGGAGGGGTAAATTTAAGGACTTGATGGAAGAGAGTACCACATTATTCTACTGCTGGAAGCAATGTTGCTTCACTTCCAATAGAATAAATGAGACATCGGAGAATTGGGCTCAGCTGATTTCTATTGGATTTGAAAAATGATGACATTCATGAAAAATAAAGAAAACCACTATTTTTTAAACCATTTAAAGCAGTATTATTGTGAGTCTAATTTCACTTCTTGTGCGCTGTGTTCTGCATTTTCATTTTCAGGATACTTCAGTCCAAAAGATGAGAGAATAAATTCCATCTTGTTCAGTGGGGTAAATTCTAGTGGTTTGCTGTGACATTAAGATAATTTCATTGTTGTGTAACTTATCCAGCCCTCAGCTGTCAATGAGGTCAGGTACATAGTGAAAACATTCTAATATTGGCCAATTCCTATGTTTGTACATTGAAGAGTCCTGGTGCTGGATTTCTTTGTACAATGACTCAGATGCTCACCTTTCATTTTGCTGTGTGTGTTTTTTTTAGCAAGGAGAGGTTGATTGCTGGCCTCTACAGTGCCCAGAAGGAAACTGTGAATTTAGTACAATCCATGAAGGTGAATGCTGTCCACGATGTGTCACAGATCCGTGCCATGCTAACCAAATCCGCAACGACATCACCAAGACGTGTGTAGATGAACTGAATTTGATTCGGTTCACCGGATCGTCATGGAGAAAGCACGCTACAGAATGTACCATCTGCCAGTGCAAGGTGAGATCAGTGACTGCACTCCTGCCGTTAACAAAACGTTAATGTCTCTTTCCAGTCTGTCGAGATTACACTGCACAGACCTCAAACACCATAAGTCATCATTGAACTCTCCAGCTCAATTCATGATTCTTCAAGTTATAAAGTGATGTGTGGTCTACGGCAGAAAATACTGTATATTTTATATTTAAAGAAATAATTAACAGTAAAAGGTGAATAAAAATTTACAGCTATGCAGCACAAATCTGTTTTTTTTAAAAAGAGAGGAGAGAGAAGTGGAAGTCATAGAATTATACAGCACAGAAGGAGATCATTCGGCCCATCGTGTCTGTGCCGGCTCTTTGAAAAGAACTATCCAATTCAATCCCACTCCCCCGCTCCCACCCCATAGCCCTGCAAATTTGTCCTCCACAAATAATTATCTACTTCTCTCTCAAAAGTTGTTATCGAAACGGCTTCCACCACCCTTTCAGGCAATGCATTCCAGTCAACTAATCTATAACCATCAGCTGGCCCAAGCCTGGAAATCACTCCTATATATCCCTGGTCTTTCTTAATCTATACAGTGTGGAGTCCACAGAGCTGTTAATTCCCACTAGGAAGGGGAAGCGATTGACAGTCACAACAGGCTATTCCTTGCAGTTGAAAAATGATGACATCTTTAACAAATTAAATTGAATCAAATAACCACTAGCCTGTTGTTGATTACTGGAAAGTGACAGAATTGCTATTGATTAGAATTGTTTAACAATTCCACTGACTTCAGCATTTTTAAGTTCCATTTATGATGCTTTTCCTCAAAATGCATAATATTTCTCATTTTAAATCTTTTTCTCTATCGGTAGTCATTCCGAGTTAAAAGAACATAGGTTTAATGTTTTGTAGGTTAATAGACTTTGATAGACTAAGGTGGTTACACAAAATAAATCAATAATTCATTGACTGGTCATTCAGTCAGTGAGGTGGGGCACAACACAATTTCACAGGCAAATGTGTGTAGGAGAGAATGACCATTTCTCAAGACATACGGGAATAGAGCAGGATATTGAGTTTAGAATTCCAACTTTTGAAAAACGGCTTCAAAATTAATATAATTTAAATTTATATAGTGCCTTTCACTGTATAAATGGAAATTGTGAAAACATCACAAAGCGCTGGGTATCTGAGCTGAGGCTGGGAGCCGATGGGGCTGGGGAGGGGAAAGATGACCGAAAGATCTGGTAATGTAAATCTAGACCCAGGTGGAATTCGCCCTGTCCAGGAATCGAGCCCAGGTCCTCTCGCTTGTGAGGCGAGTGCTCTAACCAATATGCTTCAGGACTCCACAAGAAACATCAAGTCTTTTTTAGTCTGCTTGTTTATTTACAAGTGTTAACTGAAAAATGAAACCCAAATGGGCTCAGGTTCCATCTATATATTGCTGACTTACTGCAGAACGCAATAGCATTACAGTAGGCCTACACTGTGCTCGGAAAGTGTCTTCATGAGAAAATAGAAAGCAAGTGACAAGGAACCAACAAAGTAAAACTGTGCTGTGAACAATGCACCAATATTACATGTACAATTTTCACACCTGTCTGTCCCAAGCCACTAATTTCAGGGTCAGATATGACTTTAACATACAATATATAAACAGTGTACACATTCTGGGTCTTCAAATTCTGATTAAGTAACATTCACATCACTTTGTTTATTTTTTGATATAAATTCTTCACACACAAAATATAGATGGCCTTGAATCATATTTTTTTTGAAATGTACCTTAGACTCCAGCTCTTTCATACAGAATCTTTCTTTTTCAGAATGGTCACACCTGCTGCTCAGTGGACCCACTGTGCCTTTAGCAACGTTAAACAGTAAAGTGTTAGTCACAGCGTTTGTTGTGCATTTGTATGGAATCCCTGTTCATTCTGCGGGGTAAGAATCGATATTGATACCGTAACGTATACACACTCACACTTCAAGAACAAGTTTCCTATCAGAAATCAACTTTATACCAAATAAGAATTTATGTTCAACCAAAACTAACGCTGTACTGCCAGGAGGATGTCCCAGTATAGCCAGGACTGTGAGTGCTGGAGCTGATCCCATGTGGCCACTTTATAACCAGAGAAACCATTTTGAAGCAAGTGTAAACTTGTTTAGATTGTGTGTGGGACAAAATGTTTTAACATCAAGTAGAGAAAGAGGATATATGTACAAGCATGACTAGAGACCAAGAATCTCAAAGCAAGGAACGTCATGTAATGTATTTTTCCCTTGTTGTTTGTTTAAGTTGTTGTTTTCCAGTTCCAATTATTGCTGACCTGCTTGTCTTAGTGCAAATATTTAAAAAGAGTTTAATTAAACATTTTTTTCATTCACATTTCCAACTTGCTTGCTTATTTTCTTCAACTTAATGCACTTTTTTCCCCAAAACGTGGCATTGCTATACAGTGAATGCAATCTATTTAGATTTTTAGAAAGCATTTGATAATTTTCACATGTGAGCCTTAAATGAGTCTCTAAAGCATCTTCAAGTGTTAATTTTCCATGGAATTATTAACAAATTAGTTAACTGGATTGAAGCTTACACAGTAGGAGGGATCATTTTCTATCAAACAGATGTGAATGAATTGAAGGTTTATCAAGGAGGAAGAATTTAGAGCTCAAAGTATGGCAGAGAGGCATCGAGAACTAAATGAAATTTCAATTGAAAAAAGTCTTTAAAATGATGATGGGTAACAGATGATCCATGTATTGCAGGTTATTTGGCTTAGAAAGTAAGACTAAAAATGAAGGGCATGGGGTTAAATTAATGAGATTTGTACAAGACAGATTTGAAAATTTCCTCCACACAGAATAGCAGCTATGTAGAGCAGACTTCTAACAAAATGTTGCGAAACGAAACAGGATAAATAGATGTTAACCTAGCTCAGTCGATAGCTCTCTCCCTTTTGGATCAGAAGGATGTGGGTTCAAGTCCTATACCAGGCACTTTTAATAGCTCATGGTCTAAGATGACAGTGCAGTGTTGGGAAGGTACTGCATTGTTGAAAGATTCGTCCTTCGGATAAAATGTTAAATCGGGATCTGTTTACTTAAGTGTGAAAAGAAAACCCATGACACTACAAGAAGAGAATGTCTCTATGGACACAATGATTTTTGTGCTTCTGCAGCCAGGAAATGCTATCTGTGAAGGGAATTTGGTGCCAATTAGTGGGCAGTTTGGTGCTGTGGATACTTGCTCACTGACAACTGGATAAAGCCTGCTCAAGCACACTTCATTTAGGATTCTTGCAACCACTGGGGATCACTATTCCAGGTAGACTTAAATCCAGGCTCAGAAATAAAAGGACACTCAATCTCTACAACTGTGCACATTAACCGTGTAGAACACATTAGCAGAAGGAAGGATTAAACATAGGTTTTCTCCAGGTATTGGACTCGGTATAGAATTATTCGAATTTAAAGCACAGTGCTATGCGGTATTGGAATAATAACTAGAGCAATTAAGAAGAAAGTTACAAATCAAAGATAAGGTTGGCAATGCACTTAAGAGATAAAATAGCTGGAATATTAAATATATAAAGTATTTTTTGAAGGAAAATAATAACTTGTCATTTAATTTTTATGTTACACTTGATTGTAGTGGAACTTGAAAATATAACTGTAGTCTTCTTTATAGTATGGCACCATGTTAATGTCCCACACGGATTTTTCAATGTTGCTTCCTTGATTCACGGGGTAAACACTAAGCTCAATGGAACTCTCCATCAATGCCTAAGGAAATACTTGGATGTGTATCTCGGCACTCTTTTGGCCAAATCAATTTCCATGTTTGAGTAAATACAACCTTTAATTCAGCTAGATATTCGATTAAATAATTGATTCCCATAAAATCTTAAGTGCAGCTGTGGAAAGAATAAGATACCTCTTCAAATAATTGCCAGTGTTCAGCCCATCCTGATCAGGAGCCCCAAAACAACAACTTGCCCTTATACAACAACTTTCACAACTTGAATTACTTCATATCGCTGGGGATCACCAAGCAGGTAGGAAAGGAGGGGGATTTTGAAGGTGTCGGCTACCTCTGCTATTTGAAGCGAGAATGGCTTTTAGTCAATGTAAACGATGTTCAGGTCAGGTACTTTTTGACTTTGGCTCTCCATGAAGCCTTTCCAAATCAGACACATCTGTGCTGAGTTTCCCCATTTCAGAAGAGGCAACAATGGGCATAACAATTGCTCTGAATGTCCTTGGATAAGGAGTGGAAGGTGGGTGTAAATCAGCCATGCTTCTAGTGACCACACATACACGTGTGTGTATTTTCCAAATAGGATAGCTTGCCAGCTCCAATTAACCAGATTTACAGATAAAGAACAACCACTTGGATAAGAAACGAGAGGGCTGCAATAGTCTTTGAAACAGTACACACACACAATCACCTCTATTTCCAGGAGGGAAAATGTCACAAGAGAAAGTCATAGGAAGAATAGGAGTAACAAGATAAAAACAGACCAAACTAGCTATTAATATCTGATTCTGGAGATCCAATTCAATCACAAAGTAATAGCTCATACCTTTATATCAGTTCTTTATGCCCAATTCTGACAGAGAATCTATGCTGCTGCATTGCAGCCCAAACTGCTCAGGCTCAAAGTCTTACATGACCTGGTATAATCATAACAGTGTCATGGCATGCATTGGTTTGAATATTCTGATGAAGTTGGTTTACTATCAGATTTGCAGGACTACTATTGAATCAAACTTCACACAGAGGTACAAATTGCAAAGTGTTTTCATTCTTATTTCCTATGTAAAGCCAGCATTCCAAAACATTCTCCCATTACATGTCTGGAGAAAGCACAGCTACATGTTTATGTGAAGGGGAAGCAGCCTCCTCATTTTTAGGATATCTTATTTCCATATGGCATTTGCGATCTGAGGCTGAGAAGATGAAATCCCTGATACTGCTGTGAAGTGTTATAAGCGACCAGTCTCCAATCGTTCTCTCTTTAACCCTGTTATGTTACTTCCATTCTCATAGCTTCTGCTCAGTGCTTTCCATAGCAACAGGAGCTCTCTGTGTGGGAGCATACCATGTACCTCAACTACACATAAACACACGTGTACATTCAACAGGTAATGTGGTGTGTTGGCATGTCACTTCAAGAATATCTACAGCATATTTCTTTATTTCTTTAATAAACCTCAAATGGCCCAGATGATTTTTTTAAAATATATATATTTACAGCTTAAGTACATGAGAGAATGTTGTAAAACTTGAGGTGTTCCATAACAGATTCGATGTAATAGTAAATCTATTATTGAAATCCTATATGATTATCCACTCCCAATCTTGGTATTAGCTGGAAAGTGAAACCGACAACTCAAAATGTTTTCTCATTTAAGTTTGAAACACTTTCACATTCAAGTAAATTTATGTGAGAAAGAAAAAATAGTTTCTAGGAATACAGCCATCCCTCATGAGAATTGCTGGGAACTGTTTGAGCAACACAAAGACACAAATATGTTGTAAATGAAACCCTTTCCTGGTGTTAAATGCCTCATAACATTCAATGAACACCTCTGCTTGTATGTTACTTACATTTGACACAACTATCAAGACACTTGGTGCAATGCCTCAAGGTAAATTTGTGAATCCTACTGCTGAAATACCGTAGTTTTCTTCTTGTGGAGCTGTCTAGCTTGCTGCACTAGGGCTCAGTAGGAGGTGAAGAAGGTAATTAAGACAAAATTCGATTTTTGCCAAACTTTGTATCAGTGAAAAGCCAAAGTAAGTTATTTTACAACACCGGAATGTTTTCTTTCCTCCCTTATCGAGGACACAAGATCAACAAGAAATCTGTAAACATAATGATTACAGTAATTAACTGTACATTGCAACTCAATAAACCTGTAACAATTCAATCACAAGCACCAATCCTCCATTGAAAATATGCTGGACGACATGGGTTACTGAGTCACTAATGCTCTCCATGAAACTAAGACTGGTCTAAAAAGAGCAAAATCACCAGCTCACTCAAATATGTATATACTGTATTTATATTTATAATAGACTAGCTGTACCCGATGCAGCTACACTTGCAACTAAACGATCCAATATGGAATGTAGATTTTATCAAAGCTATGCTAACCAAAGGGGTTTACTGCGTGATCCGGCAGGTCCTCGAGTTACTGCAAGGCTTCCGTGTAGACAACATTCGCATTTTTTTCTCCTTCAGCAATGATGTAAAGGTTTTGAGATGAACCCACACGTGAACATCCAACATAGAATTGTCATGGGAAAAGCAGGGTTGGGAGGACTCCTGGTTGGGAGGACTTTTTCTTGGGAGGACTCCTTCTTGGGAGGACTCCTTCTTGGGAGGACTCCTTCTTGGGAGGACTCCTTCTTGGGAGGACTCCTGTTGGGAGGACTCCTGTTGGGAGGACTTCTGTTGGGAGGAGCTTGTTTAGGTCATGTTGATGAGCTTGTTTAGGTCATAGTTTAGGAATAATAGGAGATCCCCTCCAAAAAAAAATATGCCCATGACAGTCCCCTATGCCAGACTTTTCTGTTGAAGTATAAATCATGTCTGTACGCCAATCAGTTATTGCGCTCTTGGCGGACAGACACACAGACATGAAGCACTAGATACAGGGAAGTGAGTTTAAGGAAGAAAAGTTATAAAGTGTTTTATGATTGATGATCTAATCTGAAACTGCTCCTGTGTATCATTATTCAATATTTTTTTTTCCTTTCTACGATACTAAGGATAGTTTTGAAAAGTGCATTGGTTAATTAATAGATGTTATATCACGCTTCTGAACACTGGAAGGAAACAATTCAAATGAAGTAAAGTTGAGAAGCTAAAGCACTTTGAGATGTTCTTTAACTTGAAAAGCCTTATATAAACACAAATTGCTATTTTACATGGTTAGAGGCAGATGCACAAACACAAAATCCTGTTGACTTTAACATGTAAAACATGCTTTGTTTGTTACAGAATACCACTTAGAGCATCACTAAGGAAGAATAATTTTCTTTACACTCTGAAACATTGAGAGCAGAGGTTTCCCAACTGCCTAAACAAATGTGTGTCATGCTTATCAAAGGGCTTGATGAAACAGTTCTATTGAGATTTCCATGAACGTTGACATTACAAAAGGACTGGAGTCCAAGCCATCAGGTTCCCTTCAGCCTCTTCCCCACACGACTGATATATTAATAAATGGTAGCTTTCCCAGCATCACATAGTATCACTGCATTTTGCAAGAATTTTTTTNAACAGTTGTGCAAGCAAAGCTTTCAAATACTAATATGATGATAATAATGTTGATGCATATTCCTCTCCCCCATCTCCTCCCCCATAAGGGAATGGA